GCTTTCGGTTTCACACTAAACCCTAAGCAGCACCGATTGAATTGACCCTGATCGCTGTGTTTTCGAGCTGTCTTACACAGGAGACTATGCCCCTCTTTAAATTTCTACGTTATGGAGTTCTATCATGATTTGAGGAACATTCCTTCAGCTTAAGCTGAGGATTCTTCCGGAGTGCGCCGTGATTATGGGTTCTGGAATGATCCCCAAACCCTGAACCCGAAACCCTAAACCCCAAACCTCACAAACTTAAACTGTACGCCCACAAAAATCCATGGATGTTGGAGTCGACGGAATGGGCAGTCTTTTGCAGCTACCCTAGGGATATACGATAAACGTCAGGCATCCGTTGTTAAGTGTCTTAACTGTCTTAAACTCCTGTTCCCCCCTTAGCCGAGAAACGCCTGACAAAATCTTCGAAACCCAATCTTAAAGCCCTGTACAGGCCTTATGAGAGCCCTATACAAGCCACCCTAAACCCTGAGCCCCAAACCCTAAACCCTAAATCCTAAATTTTCAACCCTAAACCCTAGACCCCAAACCCTAGCCCTAAACCCTAGACCCCAAACCCTAAACCCCCTAAACCCTAGACTTTATTCAACATCCCTCGAAATCCCTTTCCTGCCCGATAAGAAACCAGCGGAACGAGGCTGCACCGAGCGCTGGCCACAAGTGGCGCTTCAGCCCATAGCGCCCGGTGGAGGCTTCTGGATGCTCAGACTTAAGGTTTAGGGTTTAGGGTTTAGGGTTTAGGGTTTAGGGTTTAGGCTTTAGGGGTTTAGGGCTGAGGATTTAGGGGCTTTGGGTTTAGAGCTTTCGGGTTTCGGGCTGAGGATTTAGGATTTAGGGTTTAGGGTTTAGAGCTTTCGGGTTTAGGGCTGAGGATTTAGGGGCTTAGGGTTTAGAGCTTTCGGGTTTAGGGCTGAGGATTTAGGGGCTTAGGGTTTAGAGTGTTCGGGTTCAGGGCTGAGGATTTAGGGGCTTAGGGTTTAGAGTGTTCGGGTTTCGGGCTGAGGATTTAGGGGCTTAGGGTTTAGGGTATAGAGTTTTCGGGTTTAGGGCTGAGGATTTAGGGGCTTAGGGTTTAGAGCTTTCAGGTTTAGGGCTAAGGATTTAGGGGCTTAGGGTTTAGAGCTTTTTAGCTTAGGGCTGAGGATTTAGGGGCTTAGGGTTTAGAGCTTTCAGGTTTAGGGCTAAGGATTTAGGGGCTTAGGGTTTAGAGCTTTTTGGTTTAGCCCTAAGGATTTAGGGGCTTAGGGTTTAGAGCTTTCGGGTTTCGGGCTGAGGATTTAGGACTTAGGGTTTAGGGTTTAGAGCTTTCGGGCTTAGGGCTGAGGATTTAGGACTTAGGGTTTGGGGTTCCGAGTTTTCGGGTTTAGGGTTGAGTATTTTGGGGGTTCGGGGCTTGAAGTTTTGTGGGGGTTTGGGATTGATGGGGTTGGCTTTGTGCGGATACTCTGAATAAGGGTCCCCTTGCTCATCTGTCTCGATTCAAGTTGTTGGCTGGCTGGGCCATCGTCATCGCCTGCCTTATCGGCACTGTCAGTGTCATCGTCATTGTCATCTTCACCGTGATCGTCATCCAGCCCAACCCCTACCCCAAACACCCAAAACCCCGAAAACACCGAAACCCTCAAGACAAAACCACCAATTCCCCAAAACCAAACCCCCGAACCCCGCCTCAGACCCGAAACCCCAAAGCCCTTACGCACGGACGGTTTAGGGTCGCGAGGGTGAGGAGTTTCAGGGGTTTTAGTTTTTAGGGGTTCCCCCTTATGAAGAGTGACATATTTCCCTAAACCCTAAACCCTAAACCCTAAACCCTAAACCCCCTAAACCCTAGGCTCCGAAGCCTCACAGCTCACGTTGCAGGCGAAGTTCCAGCTCCCAGAACGGGCCGCGATCGAAATGCGAAGCAAAAGCTGGTCGCCAAACTGCTTTGCCGCTTGGCTGCGCCTTTTTCTGAAGTTCGCATGACTTCGACCCTAGGAGTTCAAGCGTTTGCATGGCGTTTTTGAGGCATTTTTCAGGGTTTATGTAGGGTTAATGCAAGGGCTTATATTGCATTTCTATTGGGCAGCGGCTTACGGTAGGGTGTTTATAGGGCTTATTGGGGTTGATCGTGCATTTGTATGGGTTTCTGCAGGCTTATAGGGCTTCACGAAAGGTTTGTACGGGGTTTCGGATTTCGGTTTTTGTTGCTACGTACGGGAGTTCTTCAGTTGCCAGGCAGTGCGGAGTTTCAGATGAAGGATGTAGAGTTCCCCTAAACCCTAAACTCTGAACCCTAAACCCCTAAAACCCCTAAAGATTTAGGGGACCGGGAGCCCAGGCCGTTGGTGGTACGTTCTGCCCGACTGGCCGCCAAAGGACTTCGACTGTGAGGCTGCGCTCGCCGAAAGAGGTGCGGACTTCAGAAGCATGGTTGCGGGGTGCATAGCAACCGCTGGGTGCTCCAGCGGTTTTTTTAAGGGTCTAGGCTTCAAGATTTAAGGTTTAGGGTTTATGGTTTAAAGTAAGGCTGTAAGTAGGATAATAACACCACTTAGGGGACTTATAACACCAAGCTCCTTGGAGCCCTGTTGTAGAGAGTTGGTACGTAAAGATGTAGTCGGATTGGCAACTTGGGTGGTCACCCTTTGCACCCTATACACCCTAGTTTAGGGGTTCAGGGGTTTAGGGTTTAGGGTTTAGGGTAACCCCTAAATCCTACAGCCCAAACTCCCAAGACCCTAAACCCTAAACCCAATGCGCCCGAGTCCCTAAACCACAAGATCAACCCTGAGCCATAGCTTTGAAAACTTAAACCCTAAACTCTACACTCTACATCCTAAAGCCCTACACCCTAAAGCCCTACACCCTAAACCCTAAACCCCTAAACCCTTTTAGGCCGAACCCTAAACCCTAAACCCTAAACCCTAAACCCTAAATCCTAAACCCTAAACCCTAAACCCTACACCTTAAACCCTAAACCCTAAATCCTACACCCTAGACCCTACACCCTCAACGAGGCTATCGCAAGGTCCCCGTGGAGGCCTTCGAGCTGGAGCCCGATGCGGACGACGCCGGCCTGAGGCGCAGAGCGTGGGTTTGAGGAGTTTTTTGTGGGTTTAGGGTTTCGGGGTTATGGGTTTATGTATGGGTTTATGGGTTGGGCTTTATAGGTTTACGGGTTTAGGGGTCTAGGGTTTAGGGGTTTTAAGGGTTTAGGGGTTTTCAGGGTTTAGGGGTTTATGGGTTTAGGGTTTAGGGTTTAGGGTTCGGGTTGTGGGGTTGTACCAGGCTCTCTGTACTAGTTTACAGGTTTCATGAGGCTTGCTCTACTGGCTGGCTCTTCAGGGTTGCTATAAGGGTTGTGGATGGGTTCTTGTCGGCTGTAGGGTCTAGGGCTTGGGGTTGCGCAAGAGTTTCATGAGGCTGTTGGGGTTGACGGTTTAGGGTCTAAGGTTTTCGGTTTGGGGTTAAGGTTAAAGGGTCTGCGAATTTGGGGTTTTGAAAGGTTTAGGGTTTCGGGTCCAGGTATTCTAAACAGGACAGCCCAGTAAATCCTTAGCCCCTATGCTACGCCGCAAACTCTCAATCTTTATCCTTTGCCCTAAACCCCTAAACCTTGACAAGAGTTTCTTAAGCGGCCGTGATCCCTTAAATATCCAAATGGCCGAACACGTCTTCCCACAACTGAAGACACACCCTGGCATATACTTGCTGAACTCTCGACTCCTCCACCCGTTACTTCAAATCCTGAGGACAAAGCACTCGCAATGCCGATTCTGAATGCCCTATATCCGAAATACTCAATACTCAAATTCACCTCAGCTAGACGCTCTGTCCAAATATGAAGCCGTCGCTGCCAAACCTTGAACCCTAACCTGAACTCTAAAGTACCAAGGAAGGCGTTTCCAGTCTCTGGCGGTTTCCGGGGCCTCTACAGGAATCCGGAGGGATGCCTCCTCGATGCAGGGATCCCAGGACAAGGATGCTAAGGTTTCGGGTTGAGGGTTTCAGGATTTAGGGTTAAAGGTTTAGGGTTAAGGGTCTAGGGTGATTTAGGGTTTACCCTACGCCCAAAACCCCTAAACCCTAAACCCTGAACCCTTATAAACCCCTATAGACCCATATAAACCCCTATAAACCTTATAAACCCCTATAAACCTTATAAACCCCTATAAACCCTAAACCCCTAAAACCCCGTTTAGGCCGAACGACCTGCCTTTCAACTCGAAGCCCGAAGCTCTGAATCAACGCCTGCAGGCCGGAAACCTGGCCTTTGAGCTTGCAAACCCCAAAGCCCTTCACCCCAAACCGTACAGTTCAGGGTTTAGGGTTTAG